AATCAAAATAATATTTCAGTACAATTAGATTACCACCACATAGTAAGACCTTATTTTGAAAAAGAAAAAAAGAAGAAAGAAAAAAACCATCCAGTTGTACACTTTGAAAACATGCAGCTTATTAAACCAATTATATAGAACTGAAAATATAACAAGTGTAGTTACCTACATATTTTTTTTAAAAGATGAATGTTCTGCCTGTGTGTTTGTATGTGCATCATGTGCATGCAATGCCCAAGGAGGCCAGAAGAGGGCATCAGATCTCCTGGGACTAGAGTTACGGTGGTTGTGATCTACCATGTGGATGCTGGGAATCTAACCTGGGTCTTCTGTGACAGGAGCAACCCCTGAACCATCTCAGCAGCCCTACATATATATTTTTACCTACTAGGAATGGCCCGTTAGAAAATACAATGGGAAAATGTCTTGTTTGCCATACCAACAAAAAAAATACAATATAACCTATAAAAAAAATTAATGGTATGTTAGGCATTGTATGAAACAATATCTTTGTAACAGCTCAAATCTTTGACAATGCTGTGAGAAAATAAACCTGAATAAACAAGAGGATAAAATATATTGAGCCAGCCAGATGTCTTAATGGGTTAAGATGACAACCTGACTCAATCCCCAGGACCCACATAGTGGAAGGAGAGAATTGAGATTCCCATGAGGTGTTCTCTGACCTCCGCTACTTTCACCTGTGGCATGCACACGCACACATGAAAAATTAAATATTAAATATAATATTAAAATATTAAATACAAAGAAATATTAAAGTAGAATATTAAAACATTCATGTGTGTGTGTGTGTATGTGTGTGTGTGTAAGAAAGATCTGAATGAATGTAGTAGACCCACACACAGTGCATCAAAGTGAGATCCCACTCTGAGATAAAGGTCACCATATCCGTAGCTGCTAAGAATTTTTATTGCCAGGGACTTTTAGGGGCTCTTAGGGGCTCTCCTCCATTGGAGAAAACCACCTCCTCCTAAGCTTACCACCAGCTCAGCTCCAGAATTTTGTACCTAGTGACTGATCAGCGGTAGGGAAGGCAGTTTACAAAGCCCTGGAGTCATGGTTTCAATCGGCAATGTCTGTTCCCCCCCACGGGCTCATAGGTTTGAGCACTTGATCCCCAGATAGTCACCCTGTTATGGGTTCTGGCTTAACAGGCAGATACGGGCCACTAGGGGCAGGCCTTTGAGGGTTAGAACTCAGCTCTGGTTTCCCTGTCTTTACCTTGATCTTGGTCTGTCAGCACGACCAAACAAGGCTGCAAGCTTCCGTTGCTGTGGATTTCCACCATCACGCCTTCCCCACCAAAATAAACCTGTCCTTCCTTAAATCCCTACTGCCAGGTATTTGGTCACATGATGAGAAACGTATCGGGTATTTGGTCACATTATAAGAAATGTAACTAACATGCCTCGGTCTGGAGCGGCCATGGCCGTCCATGACGGCTGCGAAGCCTCCTCGGGATCGGTGCCCTTGTGAACTCCACTGTGTTTAGCGGCACTCTCTGCTCTGTCTCCCTCCCTGGTGCCCACAGCTGGCAATCCCAGGGGTTCTCCCTAATAAACCTATTTATGCAAATCTCCCTCTGAGTCTGCTTTCCCAGGGAACTTGACCTACAACAGAGGGTAAAGGTGTCAATTATTCCCCAATTAAAGTATATACTTACTGCAAGTTCTCATCGGAATAACAGTGGAATCATTTTACTAAGTGAAAATAGCTAAAAAAAAAAAAAAAACCAAAAGAAAAAAAAAAAAAAAAAACCCAAACAAAAAAAAAAACTAAAAAAAAAAAAAAAAAGGGGGGGGGGAGGAGGGAGCAGAGTAAGAATAATGAAGTTTGGCTTGAAACACAGGAAACTAAATTTTATTAGAAAGCTATAATAACTTTGCAGGAAACTAAATTTTATTAGAAAGCTATTATAAACTTGAACAGTGTATTAATGATGCCATCGTAGAAAAGGTCACAGAAACCATAAAACCACCTCCTTTTTCATTGTTACCGTTATTTATTTAGTGGGGGGGGGGGCTGGTACGTTGCCACTGGTCACATGTGGAGGTCGGATGATGACCTGTGGGAGTCAGTTCCCTCCTCCCTCAATGTGGCATCCAGGCACTGAACTCCCAGGATCAGGCTTAGAGGCAAGTGTCTTTACCTACGGAGCCATCTGGCGGGCCCCCAAATGATCTTACCGTTCATCAGTGCTGTGTGCTCCCCTGACTTTTAAAATGCTGTTCTGTCATAAGGACACCAACTCCTCAGTCCCTTTTTTGTGGAAACAGTTTATTCTTTCACATGGATACTAGTGGTAGTGCTGACGTTCCTCTAGCCCCCTAATATCACTAATGAACATCATCATCATCATTTCTGTCCCATACTGTCTCGATTTCATCTTTAGGGTAAGGTTATCTCGTCACTCTTCTCTGCTGCTTCTCACTAACCCTCCACTCGAGTACGCCCCTGCCTCTCCACGCACTGAGTCCCTTACCACCCAGCTGGATCTTCCTGTCCACCTTAGGAGCTGCTACCATCAAAATCAACCCCATATCCACGGGAACAGCACTTCCTACACTCCAGCATCTCAGTCCCTTAGCCTCAGAGCCAGTAAGCTGTAATTCCCCTGCCTCTGCAATCCATGCTCTGGCCCACAGTGGCCCTCTGTTCTCTTGGGGAGCTCCTGCCAGCCAAACTGTGTACTCTGATATTTCCATCCATGACCACGGTTTTCTGACTTCCTGCTTTCTGATGTCTTCTATGTCCACTCTCACTCCACAGAGAACCCCCAAAACGTATGTGAACACTACAGGGATTTAGAACGTCTCAATAGAACGTCTCAATCCCACCTGAAATGTCTTCCTTCTTTGAACATGAGCCCATGTGACTTACAAATACCGTGTCCCATTGTTTAAGTATGGGAACCACTGTGAACTCCCATTCCAACTTCCCTTAGTCTCCCAGGTTCACTCCCAGGTGCTCCCCTGCCGCCATAAGCTAGCTGCCAAGGAGGCTAGAGGACAGATGTCATCAATTTGCTTCCCTAGGAAGGACTTTCCTTGGCTCTGTCATCATGAAGTTGAAACCGCTGCACTGGTACCCAACATCCACTGTGACTCCGCCCCTCCTCTTCCTCTAGCCACACCCTTCCTTGCCTCTCCTGTTCCAATCAGAATAAATGGCTTGCACACTGATGTCTCCAGCCCTCAGAAATCTGCATGTGCCAGTCCCTTCATCCACAAGTCCTCGTGGTCACCCTCTTCCTCAGGTGGCACTGATAACACCTGCCTGAAAATCTTCACAGTTCTTCTACACATACACACACGGAGGTACTCCGGGCTGGGCGTGGAAACTGTTTCAACGTCAGAGTCGGCTACCGGCCTGGAACACCTTGTGCTCAGGGAATTGAGAAGAGTGTCTTCATTATTGCATCATCAAGACCATCACACCGCACAGAACACAGGCAGATGCGGAAGCGCCACAGCTTGACTGGATGGGAAGAGGGACAACACAAGGGAAAAAACGCGTCAGGCTCGCATTCCAGCATCCTGGACTCCAGTTCCTTTCTGACTGCAGAGTGACTGCAGGCCATTTTCTTTCTTTCTTATTTTTGGTTTGGTTTTTCCAGACAGGGTTTTTCTGTGTAGTTTTGTTTTGTTTTATTTTGTTTTGTTTTTCCGGAGCTGAGGACCGAACCCAGGGCCTTGTGCTTGCTAGGCAAGCGCTCGACCACTGAGCTAAATCCCCAACCCACTCTGTGTAGTTTTGGTGCTTGCCCTGGAACTCGCTCTGTAGACCAGGCTGGCATCGAACTCACAGAGATCCACCTGCCTCTACCCCGCCCCCATGCATACACTGCCACCACCCGGCTTACAGGCCATTTTCCTAAGCTTTCTGGTACATAGTTACTTTCCCTATAAAACTAACACAGGGATAGTTACTTTACAAGGTGACTTAAGGAGTCAATTAGAGAACACATGCTTCTGATATTCAACCAAGTCTGGCCTTTTTCATGTCTTTTGTCCTTCCTCCTGCCTTCTCTCTGTAAGCATCCCTTATACTTCCTCAAAATTTAGAGAGCAGCAACAAGAAACAAAGCCATGTACTTCAAACGCACCTCTGACTTCAAAGTGTTCCACTCCCTGCCCATGACTCAGTCGGGGCTAATCACACTGTTGCTACACCTTGTAAATAGTTGACCTTTTAACTCGTCTGACAAGGTAAGGTTGCTAGGAAGTAAACGAATGTATTCACCTGGGTGTGTTCTAGAATCTTCTTATGAGGAGCCGCCAGTTCTTCATTGAACAAGCCCTAGAAGATGATGGGAGCTCTGGAGTATCTGTAGCCACCCAGCTGGATCCTTCATGTCACACTCAAAGCTAATGTGACCACTGAGGTCTAGATTCACTTTGGACCAACAGAACAGACAAGAAGTTTCAAATTAATAAGGCAATTCAAAACACATAATGCCCAGCAAAGAGACGTTACCAAGTTACAATTGTCATCCTGTCCAGGACTGTAATGAGGACATACCTGTCCTGGAGATTATATCCTTACAAAGAGTCAAGAGAGCGCTGAAGGCGGAATGGAGAATAAGGAGGGAGCATTCCATAAGACGGTCACTGTTGGAACTGAATAGCAAGGCAGAAAGGAAACACACAGAAGCAGAGGAGACTCCTCGCCCCGCCAGCCTGTTCCCGTCTGCTCTTTACAGTGGGCACATGCTTACAGAAGCAATTATAGCAATTCTATAAGGAGCATAATCCAATTTACATGTCAGAAAACTGAAGTTTAGAGACGTTAGTAACACATCCAATGTCACACGGGTAGATATCAATGATGATATCCTAAATCCAGTCTGTCCAGCCCTGTAGAACATGCTGCTAATAGTTTACCAGACAGTCCCTAGTGTTGTGTACATGAAAATGGAATTAATCCTCCAAGTGGAATGGACTTAACTGGCTTTATCGAATATATAGCTTTATCCATGGTCTCATTGCAAAGAAATGTTCTAGAAAACTCCAGTCTCCTGACCATCACCTAGAAAGCCTTGAGATCATCACTGCATCCCAACAAGTAGAGAGCTGAAGACACTTGGCTTCTTAAAAGTGAACAAAGCCAAGAGTTGGAAACCCTAAGAGGGAGACCAGTCTCAGAGGGGTGCCCCCTCCCATGTTATGGGGAAAAGGACAAGAAGAGATCCCACTGCACTTCCAGCAGAGAGAGGGGAAAAGAATCACTTAAGAGCCCGGTCCCAGCTAGGGAGGCAGCTCTGCCGGTAAATGCCCTAGCCACAAAAGCCTACTGGCCAGAAGCCAGTCTTCAGAATTCATGTCGAGAGCAGGATGAGAGACGCACATCTGTAATCTCATAGGGCGAGATGGGAGCTGGAGACAGGAGCATCTCCCAGGAGCTCGTGAGCCAGCTAACCTGAAGTGTGAGGCGCAGCAGCAGAAACAAGGAACCCCTGCCTCACCACGGTGCAGAGGGAGAACCAGCCATCTAAGTCGTTCTCTGGCCTTACACGCTCACTACGACAGGTGCATAACTGTGCATGTGCACACTCGCAAGCACACACACACACACACACACACACACACATGTTGCATAATCAAATAATAATAATAAAAATAAATCATGGGGCTGGAGAGATGGCTCAATGGTTAAGAGCACTGGCTGTTCTTCCAGAGGACCTGGGTTCAAGTCCCAACATCCACATGGTAACTCACAACTATCTGGAACTACAGTTCTAAGGAATTCAACACCCTCACATAAACACACATGCACATAAAATAAAAATAAATCATAAAAATTGTTTAAAAAATAAATCAATAGCCGGGCAGTGGTGGCGCACGCCTTTAATCCCAGCACTCGGGAGGCAGAGCCAGGCGGATCTCTGTGAGTTTGAGACCAGCCTGGGCTACCAAGTGAGTCCCAGGAAAGGCGCAAAGCTACACAAAGAAACCCTGTCTCGAAAAACCAAAATAAATAAATAAACCAATAAAGCACAAGTGCAGTTGTGGGACTGGAAAGATGCCTCAGAGATTAGGAGGACAAACTGCTCTTGCAGAGCAAGAGGACCCAAATTCAGGTCCTAGCACCCCCATCAGGAGACCTACAATCACCTAAAACTCCAGCTTCGGGGGATCTGATGGGCTCTTTTGGCCTCCAAGAGCACCTGTACTCATGTACATACACACACACACACACACACACACACACACACACACACACACACACAATTAAAAATAAAAATCTTTAAAACCCAGTCTCCTCCCCCTATCTGTAGAGGATGAGTTCAAAAAACCAAATACCAAATATGTGGATGCTCAAGTCCCTTGTAGAAGAAGGCATGGTGCACAAATCCTCCCACATACTAGAAATTGTCCTAAATCATTTGTAAAACCTGTCACAATATAAATGCTATGTAAATCGTTACGTTGTTTAGGGAGTAGGGGCAAGAAGGAAGTCTATACTTGAGCAATATAATACTTTTCTGAAAATTTCCCATGCCAACTTGGTAGGATTTGTGGATGTGAGACCCACAGTTAAGGATGACCTAGACATCCTTGTGTGTGTGTGTGTGTGTGTGTGTGTGTGTGTGTGTGTGCGCGCGCGCTCATGTGCATGTGCAGATGTTTTGTCTGCATATATGTCTGTGTACCACATTCATG